GGGGAAGCAGCCTATTTCATGATAAAAAGAGTCAGTCTACTGAAAAGCTAAAATAACTATAACAGCACACAGTCAGACTCAACAAAAAATAAAGTTACCAGGGAAAATGACTTATCCACAATCACAGTAAGACGTTAAACACACCTCTCTCAAAACTGGCAGATTAGGGGCTGGGGCTGTAGCTTAGTGGTACAGCACTTGCCGAGCATGTGTGAGGCTCTGGGTTCGATTTTCAGCATTGCATATAAATAAATAAAATAAAGGTCCATCATATATATATATATATATATATATATATATATATATATATATATATATGGCACACAGCTATAATCCCAGCGGTTCAGGAGGCTGAGGCAGGAGGATCTGAGTTCAAAGCCAACCTCAACAACTTAACAAGGCCCTAAGCCACTCAGTGAAACCCTGTCTCTAAATAAAATCCAAATAAGGGATGGGGATGTGGCTCAGTAATAAGTGCCTCTGAGTTCAATCCCCAATACCAAAAAACAAAACAAATAAACAAAAACCAAGAAATGTACCAAGAAAATGAAAGATAAACATTTGAAAGATATAATTTATAAATTAGACCACATATGTGATATGCTATATATGATATACATATAATTCGTGTATATATGATAGAGGAAGCCTCAACACATTCTAAGGACTAAGTCCCAGACAGAACACTTGCTGTGACCACACATAGCAAATTCAGAAACCAATCATCAAAAGGCAGGCCCTCCCTCCAAGAAATACACTTGGAAATTTCAAAAACAAACAAACAATAAAACTAGAATTTTTTTCTAAATTCACAGGTTAAAAGGAAAAATATGATGAAAGTTACAAACTATTTAGAACTGAACAATGAAAAATACCAAATTCCAAAACTTATGAGATGCAGTTATAACAGTATAGCAAGAAAGGGAATTTATAGCCCCAAAAGCACATTAGAAAAATAAGAGATATTAGAAGTCAGTGTTTGAGTTCTAGAATTTTTTTTAAATAAAAGTCAAACATGGGGCTGGGGATGTGGCTCAAGCGGTAGCGCGCTTGCCTGGCATGCGTGCGGCCGGGGTTCGATCCTCAGCACCACATACAAAAAAAACAAAGATGTTGTGTCTGCCGAAAACTTTAAAAAAAAATAAATAAATATTAAAATTCTCTCTCTCTCTCCTCTCTCTCTCTCTAAAATAAATAAATAAATAAATAAAAGTCAAACATGTTAGAAGAAATAAAATCGTAACACCAAAGTGATAAAAGAAAGGAAGTATTTATGATTGCTCACCAAAACCAAAAGCTAGTTATTTAAAAGGCTGATAAAATGTAATTTAAAAATACATTTCAATGTTAGAAGATACAAGGTTGATCAAGAAAGAGAGGTCAAGCATAAATACATGTCTTAGGAAGGAAAAGGAAGCTAACTTAAAGATATAAAGAACATTTATAAAATTATAATGCTATTAGACACAATATTTCATGCCAATTTGGAAAACTACCAATTTTTGTAAAATGGTACACTGTTTAGAAAAATACAAGTCACCAAAATGGACTCAAAAAGAACAATAAAACCAGAATTGATCAAAAACCACTAAAGAAACTGAAACCATAGTTCCAAAAGCTCTCTTATTCCCAAAAGGCATCAGGCCTGGATAGTTTTATAGGTAACTCTTCCCAAACCTTAGGGAATAGATCATGCCTACTTTACACAAATTGTTCCAAAGAACAGAAACAAAGAAAGCAACCAAATTCATTTTAGGAGTCTAGCATAACCTTAATACCTGAGCTGAACAAAAACAAAACAAAACTTCAGGCCAATATCCTTGTGAACATAGGTATAAAAATCCTAAAGTAATAACTACTCAAAAATATAGCAATACACATAAAAATAATACAGCAAGGCTGTGATAAAAACTCCAAGAGCTCCATATATCCATTCTCATCTCAGTCTTTAGTCATAAGAACTGTAATTTTCAGCTGTGGACTTTGTACTTTGCAGACAGCTTCCCAGCTGAAAGACTATCCTCCACAGCCCCCCCCCCACCAGCAGCCAGTTGCCACCACGTGATGTGGTTACAGCCCAGGTGATGTAGGTTAAAGTGCTGTGTGTGACTTTTTAAAAAGGATGATGCCCTTCTTCCTCAGTTTCTCCTTCCCACTGCTCAGCACAGACATGGCAGGAGGAGCTTGAATTTCAGCTCCTGGGATATGAGGTAATACACAAAGGATGGAAAAGCAGCCAAAGAAGAGCCTAGGGTCCTGACACCATACCTCTTTACATCCAGGTGGCTTTGGATGTAAGAGAAATACACTTCTTTGAGACACCGAGACCCTCTTACAGGCAAATTCAATCCAAACTGATAACAGGATCAAGCAGAATTTATCCAGGAATTAAAGAATGGACCAACTGGGAAAAAAATATTCATATAATGCACCATATTCCACATGGAAAGAGAAAATCTAGGATCATCTAAGTAGACTCTGAGAAAGCATTCAGTAAAATTCCACTTGCCTTTTCTATTTAAAAAAATGAAAATTAAAAACTCTTAGTCAACTAGCAATAGACAGAAATTCCCTAACCTGAAAAAAAACAGTACCTATCACAAAATGTAGCAGACATCTTGAGAAGCCTAGCTACTAAACTCAAGAATGGAATAAGCAAGCTACTACTCAGGAGTAAACAGGAAGTCTTATTCAATGCATTATTATAAGAAAAATAAATTTAAAATAAAGATCTAAAAGAAATATCCTCATTTGCAAAAAAATCTATACAGAAAACCCACCATGATTTTTCGGATAACCTGAGACCTGATAAGGGAGAGCAGCAAGGCTGCTAAATACAAAATCAATAGGCAAAACTTAATAGTGTTCCCATATACTAGCAGTGCCCCCATTATAAAATAAAACAGAAAAAAAAGACCTAGATCATAATAGCTAACACCATCACCTTTCTACTAGCCTCAATTCCACCACTACTTTCCTCAAATTCATTCTCCATTCAGTAGCAAGTGATCTTTTGTAAACATAAATTAGAGCATGTCACACTCTTTCTTTAACCTTTTAATAGCTACTCATTATTTATAATTAGATTCCAATTCTTTATCATGCCCATGCTCGGCATGACCTGGCCCCTGGAACTCTCCAATGCACTCTCTCACTACTCCCCCATTGCACTCCTTGTCAATCACAGGAACCTTCTATCAGTTCCTGGTGCGTGTCAAACCTTTCTCGCCCCAGGGCCTTCGTATATGTGATTTCTTCTCCCTAGAATGCTTTTCCCCCAATCATCACTGTAGTGTTCTCAAACATCAGTTCAAATGTCATCTGCTTAATCTAAATAAGGTTCCTTCTCTCTTATCTCTTCCTCTTTCATATTCCCACCATGATGTGCAATAATATCATTACATGGTATTACCACAATGTATCATCCTATTTTTATTCATGGATTATTTACTGATTGCCTCAATTTCCCTCTAGACCATAACTTCTATAAGGACAAAAGTTGTGTCTTTGGTGTTTCCCTGAGCATTTAAGGCAGTGCACCAAACATGTGTCATATAACAAAGGCTTAATAAGTATTTGCTGAATGAATACATCATGAATGAATGGCAGAGTGTGCTCAGCTAGGATGCCTGCTACACTCCTCCCAGGATTCAGGCCTGTTAGGAGGAATAGAGAGACTCCTCGGGGATCTATCTGGATGCATCCCAAGCAAGCAGTGAAGACACATGGGCTTGGTTTATGGTCCACAGTTAGCACTGGAGTCAGGGTGATGTGTAGAATTAGGAGCATAGAGCTATATCCATCCTCAAAAACTTAAGTCATGGATTTGCAAATTGAGTCCGTCATAAATTGTCACTTCTCTGTAATATTCCTGACCTATTAAGAGTTTGGAGGACAGTGGCTTTAGGAGTGATGGGGACAACAGAAGGAGCCTTTTGCTACCCTTGAAGGAAGCATTTACTATATTAGGAGAGTATGGACCTTCAGGGAGCTAGAACAGGAGTGGAGGAAAAGGGCGACTCCCACAGAAACCCTAAGAAGATTTGATTTCACACACACACACACACACACACACACACACACACGAACCCCAGGGGGTCCCAGGAATAGATGGCAGAACCACAAGGAAGGCCAGAAGGCCAACAATGGCACATGAGAACAGAGCTGCAAGGGACAGTGCTGGGGCACTAGTTTGACACCTGCAGTGGGTATGGCCTAGACAACTTGGATTACCACAAAACCTTCAGTCAGCCTCAGAATGGTTCCCAGACACCATACCCAGGGCCACCAGGCATCATGCTCCAGAGGGCAGATGGGCACTATGGCATGGCCATGTGGTTGTTAAAGAAAGTGTCTCCCCAGGGACCCAACAACAGAGAGGACTTCTTTCAATATTCCCTCTGGAACTTACAATGCTAATTCTTCAGGTGGAAATTAAGGAAGCAGTGTTTCTGAGGCCACCTAATTCCAGAAGAGTGGCTGCTGGTAATTCTACTGTCTTGGATACACCACAGACTCAGGCATATAATAGGTACCCCCAACTGGTTATATGTTGTGCAACCAAGTGAGGAGGAGTGTTATATCTGCCAGGAGCTGAGACAAGCAGTCTTCCTGTTTATTTTTTTCTCTGGGGTTCACATACTGGCCCACCTCAGGTTGTAAGGAGGGATTGGCAGTCCTATTATCCCCTGTAAAGGACAATGACTGGAGGCCTGCTTGCCACCTATTACCTTTCCTTACCTCTCTTTCTCCCCAACCACTGTCTGTCTGCCTCTAGGCACCTGAGAGTGGCATGAGTACAAGGAGAACTCGCTTTAGGTTTGATGACTACCCTGGAGGTCTCTGTGGACAACCTCTGTCTGCTCTGACTTCTCCCCAATAAGAAGGTGGGGTCTCACTCCAGTAGGAGAGCAAGTGCAGGCAGAGTGAGCCAAGGAGGACATGACAGCCCTTGCTCCTCTTCTCCCCAGTGACACCTGAGTGTACCCACCATGACCTACCTCTTGTCCTCTTCCACCTGTACACCGATGGAGTGAAACTCTCTTCGGCTCCTGTTCTCGGTGTCAGAGTCTGAGATAGTCTCCACCTGGCGGCAGGGTGGAGGAGTCAGCAGCGGGGCCTAGCCAGGGGACACACCCCTTCCCAGTGAGAATGGTCAGCACTGGCTGAGCCCCAAGCCAACTGGCAAATCTTCATCTCCCTGAGGAGACGAGAGAGCAGACGCATCAAGGTGGCAACAACTGGGCCCCTCTCTGCACTCTCTATCAGGGATGATGGTACAGGAAAGGGACAAGTTGCTGAAACAGCCCTGTCGATGACCAGGCACAGGATCTACTTGCAGCTCAAGACTGGCCAAGAAGCTCTATGTATCCAGAAGGCCCCTCTGATCTTCTCAACCCCTCCCCAACTGGCCAGACCTGAGCCTTCGATGGTGCCTCCTCCTTTCATACCTGCACACCGATGGATGGCCGCCACTTCCGCTGTCGCGCCAGGCTCCGCAGCTCCTCCCTGCCAGGGATGGTTTTGATGATGAGTGTGGGGGGCTTGGGGCTGGCCCGGGGTGGCACAGGCGCCAACTCGAGGGTGCGTGCGCCCATGGCGGGGCCGTCCAGCCCGTCTGCGGAGCTGCAGCGCCGGGCTGGGCCCTCCGTGGCGGTGAAGCTCTCGTGGGCAGAGTCGGTGCTGCTCTGGGCGGTGATGGAGATGCGGGGCGGGGCCTGGCTTCCCGGCGGGATGGGGGGCGGGGCCTTTCTGAAGTTGAAGGCTGTGGAGGGCGAAGCAGGGAATGAGATACACATCCCGGCAAGAATCTGAGGCCCATCACCAGGCACACCCATGCGCTCCCTCAGGACCCGGCCGCCACGCGCACGCCATGTGCTGCTACATACAGGGCCAAGGACTGTTCTCATCCTGCCCAGAGAGGAAAGCGATCTGTCCACAGCACAGTCATGGCACTGACCGGAACGGACACCAAGGTGGTCTCCAACTAAGGCCCAGGCCAGGGACAGAGAAAGCATACTTACAGGAGCCGGGCCTCCCTGAGACAGAGGCAGGGGCAGCAAGGAGGGGTAGGCAGTCGTCGTCTTGAGAGCAGCCGGCCTGGATGGCCCGGAGGTAGCTGTGGCTCCGCATGCGGAAACAGCCGGGCAGGTCCAGGGCGTCCACGGCCTGGGACTCAAGCTCCCCAAACACAGACCCGCACACGGCCTCCAGCTGCTGGTTCAACTCGTCGCTGAGCTAGGGGCAGAGGCCGGGAGGTCAGTTACCAAGGAGCTGGGAAAGGGTGCTCTGCCTTAGGAACATATCTAAGTCTTCATCCACTAGGCCTCTGTGACTCTTCTTCTCCAGCATTTGGGCTAAAAGAAACCCTCACTGTCCCCAAAGATGGCGACACCTGTGATACTCCCTACGGCCTGCCTTGGGGCCCAGTTTTATTTAAATACCCCTACCTGTCCCCCACCTGTGCTTCTCCAGGTGTCTGGCTGTACCCCGGACTCTGACCACACTTTCTTCTCTACCTAGTTCTTCATCTTTCTCACACTTGAGCCTGACAGAGAGAATCTTGTCATCCATACGCCTGCTGGGTATCAGGGTGGGGACTGCAGGGAAAGACACTTTATTACTTATTACCCCACTACATTACAAACTTGATTAAAATCAACCTATAGATATATATACCCAGGGGCAAGATGGAATGTAATTATTAGCCTACAGGTATCTCAAGGCTTTCCCCACTTTGTGCTCACGAACAAGGGTTCTGACTTGGTCCACTGGTTCCTGCCCTGCCCTCACCCTCCAAGGGAAGCTCAACCATTACTGGATGAAGTTTTTGTTTTTATACTGGGGATTGAACCCAGGGGCACTTAACCACTGAATCACTTCCCCTTTTTATTTTGAGATAGGGTCTCACTAAGTTGCTCAGGGCTTCCCTAAGTCACTGAGGCTGGCTCTGAACTTGCAATCCTCCTGCCTCAGCATCCCAAGCCTATGGGTTGAAGTTCTTGTTTTTGTTTTTCACAATTTGTGGGGCAGAATTCATGATGTTAAAAAAATATAGAAGCAAGGAAGAAAAATACAATACAAAATTTTTGTTCATGGAACCATGCCACAAACCATAGACTGAGACTAAATATACTACAGAGTTTTCAGCATAAAGAAAAAAATAAAGGTAGGAAAAAGTAGTACCAGAGGTAAGCTCTGTGACAAAACACAGCTGACAGAGTCCTAAACATTGCTCCAAATGGGTACATACTCTTCCCGGAGCTTCCACCCAGCCAAAGCATGTATGAAATGTAGCCTGAGAGTTGCCTGCATAGGCCATGAGATGAGGCTCACCTAGATTCAAGTGCTGTCTCTGTCTCTTCCTGGCAATGTGGCCTAGGAAAGCAAAAGTTTGGGGGCCTCAGCTTGCTCACCTGTCAAATGGGAATGATAACGGTACCATATTTATAAGTCTATTGAAGGGACTCAAAATAAAAAAAAATGGGAACTTGCAATTGGTTTTTTTTTTTTTTTAATTTTTTAATATTTATTTTGTAGTTTTCAGTGGATACAACATCTTTGTTTGTATGTGGTGCTGAGGATCGAACCCGGGCTGCACGCATGCCAGGCGAGCGCGCCACCGCTTGAGCCACATCCCCAGCCCCTTGCAATTGGTTTTTGTTGTTGTTCTGAATTAGACAAGAAACTAAGAGGAGAGGCAAGCACCTGGTATGGACATGAATTAATTCATAAATATCAAAACAACTGATCTGACACTCCATTTTCAATGCACCTAGTATGGCAACTGATGCATAGAAAATCACACCCAGAAAGCACAGGGTAGGGGCATTCATGAGAACCATAACTGCTCCTGTCACTAAGCCCAAGATAAATCTCCCTGTGGATGACTGTGCAGAGGCCCCTGGATGGAGTCTTACACAAGGTTCTCAGTAATATCCCATGGTGAATATAACAGCAAGTATCCTAGGCTGCATCTGTGACATCTCCCAGGAAAGATTCACAGCATCATATTTATGTGCAGTCGACAGAGATTCAAAGAATTGTCTTGACCCAAGTGTAAAATGCTGCTTAATATTTCCATAACTATGCCTCCTAAGTGTAGCATGATTTCACTAGGCCCTGGCTCAAATAGAGCTGGAATTTCCATCCCATTCTATCAATGGGAAAACTAAGACTCAGAGAGGACAGATAAATTGTCCACAGATAGCCAGTTGGTAAGTGGTAAAACTAAAATTAAATGCTACATTTGTCAGCTCCCCTGTAAGGCTGATTGAGTATCAGGATCTCCTAGGGAGCCTGTTAAGTCTATGTTAACTCGGGCCCTCTAACTATATGCTTTTCTCTGCTTTGGCTGCTTGGAAGCTCAGAAAAAAATCTGCTGAAGATACAGACTCAGTGGTTCTAATGTAGGCCCAGAAACGAAAAAGAGGACTGCCTGAATTCCTTTCTAAAGGAACTTCATTACAATGGAACAGAAATCACAGGCCACAGAAAAAGCAATCCAAGATCCAGTAGAAGTTAAATTCTTCCATGTCCAACCAGCCTAAGCCACACCATGTGGCATCTGTGGCTGTCACCATGACTTCCTGTAATCTACTATCCAGTTATACTGTCTCTGGATGTTGGGAACCCCATGGACAGCAGTTGCCAAGGTATTTCCTGGAGCTCAGGAGCTCAACCAACTCCTGCCCTTTCTAGATTAGGCTCAAAGTGCTCCCCAACTAAAACCAATCCAGCCCAGAGAGTCCCTCCTGGATCCCATGGGAGCTAATCTAAGAGCCAAGAGCATTGTGGTCTCAAGTAGCCTGGTCATCAAGGATTCAAGGAATCTCATTCTGAACTTAACTTCAGTTTTCTTCTATGTGTAAAGCAGTAGGCATAATATCTGACACAGAGCAGATGCTCAATAAACATTAGCTATGACTATTAGTAGCAAGAGGTTCTTAAAACACAGTGGCAATATCATTCAGAATGAGAGAGCTCTCTATTCCAAATAGACATCTCTATCTATATTTAAAATAACACCCAGCTATGTCCACAACCAACTCTATCCAAGGCAGGCAGTGGCAGAGTGAGAAGCTCCCGGTGGTCATACACCTCCCAGCTCAACTGGCCAAGAGGAGATTCTGGGGAGTCTACAAGGGACGAGGACCTAGGGAAACCCAGTCTCTATCTATATAGACTCACAGAGGAATACTGCACCTGAGTTGATCTGTCCTATGTGATATTATGCTTATAAAATGGTCCCACTGCATGGTGAATACGCCCATTATTCCTGCATCAACTTCCATCCTCCTTCCTCCAACCCCCACTTGCAGGAGAGTCAAAAAGAATCCTCTGGGGAAATGAGATCCTGAGCCTTTCTACAAACCAGACTCAGAATCAGTGGCCATTTCCAAGCACATGGGATAATGAAAGGAAAATACTTCGTTTGAATCTAATTGAAAATCGCCCATGCTAGAGTCGGTGGGTCCAGCTGGGGGCCAGGTGACATCCTGTACACTTTACGTAAGTTATTTCGTTTAGATAACCTTTGAAGCCTCCCGTTTCAAGCCACTCCAAAACACTGGATAAAACATAACAAATGTCATTTTATATGCATAGCTGAGCTCACAAGAAAGCAAGCTAAGTCCCCAGGGGACAAAAGCAAAGAGGAGACTGGAAAATCAGAATATGAACTATGTGAGCCAATGCTGCAAACAGCCCAGTGGAGGCGGGCAGTGGGGGCAGGGGGTTCTGGTCTCAGTAACCAAAAGACTTAAGTTTTAACACCCACTTGGGCGGAGGAGTGAGGCTTTGGGCTCACACGAAGCCCAAATGAGAAGCTGAAATGAGAACCTTTAAAAGCTAGAAAAGGGGAAATCTTCGATGAAAATGTAGACAAAAAAAATTTTTTTTAAAAAAATCAATCCTTACCACAGGCCGATAGAAAAAAGCCAGTCTGTAGTTCAGGCACCAGAGGGAAGAAAGGAGACAAATCCCCTAAAAACCTGTACCCATAAACCAGTCCTCCCACAGACACGGGATTTTATCTCTTCATGGGCTTGCGTGGCCCAGATTAAAAATTCACATAAAATGGCTCTGGACCAGGAATATTCTAACAGAAGCAACTGCAAAATGTATACCTGAGGGATCCATGCCTAACCCAGGCTGCTCAGGCCTCCACTGAAGATGAGCAAACAGTGTCTATGTAGCAGCCATTTCTGACATCACCTTAATGGTCTCCAACTCCTGGCATGCACTACTTCCTCTGGAGTGCGGACTGGACTTATTGGCCCACTTCTCATGAATAGAACATGGCAGATATCGGAGATGTCACTTCTGAGACTAGGTTACAGACTGTGGTTTCTATTTTAGATTCACATGGAAGCAGGCTGCCATGTTGTGCGATGTCCCTAAAGTGAGTCCCACATGACAAGAATCTGATGTCTCTGGCCAATGGGTGGTGAAGATCCAAGCCTGTAAACAGGCACATCAGTAAGCATGGAAGCAGGCCTCCCCCCAGGCAAGCCCTGAGATGACCACAGCCCTGCTCATCACCTTAACTGCAGTCCTGTGAGATGCTTGACCCAGGTAGCACCTAGTTAAGCTGCTCTCAGATGCCTGACCCACAGAAATAGGAGATAATAAGTTCCTGTGTTTTCAGACGCTGCATTTTGTGTAAATTATTATGTCGGAATAGATAACTAATACAAACTGTGACATAAACTTCTATTAAGTCATTGAGAATCCAGTTTTTAACTATCTAGAAGATACATAAAACTTTTGACATATAAAGCAATTTTGCCTTATGTATAGCAAAATTGTTTTTAAACTATGTTTGATACTTTTTTTAAAAAAGATAGAATCTTGCTGTGTTGTTCAGGTTGGCCTTGAATTTCTGGGCTAAGATGATCCTCCTGCCTCAGTCTCCTGAGGAGCAAGGAGTACAGACATGTGTTATTGTGCCAAGCTTTGAACTACCTTTAAAAGTCCTAACTTCAAAGCTAAAACTGAAAATAGAGAGAATAAAAGCTTGGGGAAAAGAGAAACTAAAGATTTGAAAAGGAATCAAATCAGATTTTGAAAAATAAAAATAAGTTAGTAAAATTAGAATACAACTGATGAGTTGATAGTAGATTAGATATGACTGAAGAAAAAGTCACTGAATTGGAAGATTCACCCAAGAAACACACCTAGGGAGCAGCATAGGGAGGCAAAGAGATGGAAAATATAGAGGTTAAAATAGATACATG